TGCGACGCTTGCCTGCAGATAGTTCGCCATGAAAGGCACGTTTAGACTACCTTGAGTCATCCATGTGCACCAAGTAACCTGCCCAGCGCATTTGATTGAAAAAGATCAGCTTCTCAGTAATGGGGATATTAGCTTTCTTCAGACTTTGTCAAGTACAAAACACATCCATGAAATATTCAGGATTCCTCGGAGGAACTTTTTGTTTGCGTTTTCAAAGGTGTTTATATAACGTCTTTGTGTTGTCTATGTTTCTGAAGAGTACAAAAGTGCAATCAAAACACATGACTCATAAAACCTTACCTTAATCCTAAATGTGATGTTTCTGTCAGACCACACCCGCTTTTCAAAGCATGTAAAAGATTTAGCAGCTTTCTTCTTGCGGTGAACTCTTTCAGCATTTAGTGTCCCATCACGCGAGAGTGTGCTTCCAAAGTGTACAATGTATCCACTACCTTCAGCCTCCTGCTATCCACGAGTAATTTTGGTGCACGCTACGGTTGTCTAGGAGGTGGTGTGAACATTATCTTGCTCTTCCTCAAACTGATACTAAGCCCGAATGACTTACACGCATCAGCAAAAAGATTCATGATGGTTTGCATATCGTCTTCGGTATGAGCCATGAGATCGGCATCATCAGCATAAAGAAGTCTACGAATAACTTGCAGAAACACTTTTATAGGAGCACTAAATCTTTTATAGGAGCACTAAATCTTTTATAGGAGCACTAAATCTAGATAGTTCAGAAACCCAAATAAACACCAATGCTACAACTTCCAAATGCATGTATGTGCATCAATGCAAAAATGATGGAAAAAAACTAGATGCAGATATATCGCCCCGCTTCACACCATTCTCAGCAGAAAATTGGTTCAGACAGAGTACCACTGAAGTTCAATCTTGCTTTCATGTTGCTGTGCAACTCTATAAACACCCAGGTGGGCAACCTAGTTTTCTTAAAATTGTCCACAAGGCGTTCGTATTTACAGTCTCAAAAGCCTTAGGACACCGAAGACTTTGTAGAGCGGGACACAATGTTCAATGTAGTTTTCTACCAGTTTTCGGGCTGCGAAGATCATTTCCATTGTGCCTCTACCAGTGTGATACCCACATTGACTCGGTGATATCACTTCAGAAGAGATGTGACTTTGGAGGCAATTGAGCAAGATTTTGGCAAAAACTTTACCAACAGGTTCAAGGAAGATTGTTCCCCTGCAGTTGCTACATTCTGACTTTTGACCTTTCCTATCAGTTATCAGTTAATTGATAAAGCTTTTACGTATATTAATTATAATTAATTATAATATTATGATATATATATATATATATATATATATATATATATATATATATATATATATATATATATATATATATTCTGTTTATACGTTATTTTAATAGATACAATTTATTTAAATACGTGCTCCGTTTTTAAATAAGCAATGTTAATTGCATTAACCGGTCTGAATCTCTCGAACATTATATATAATTAATACTGTTTATTTACAAAACATAGCATTTACGGAAATAGGTTGTATCTATTAAAAATAACGTATAAACCGAAAATATATTAAGTAATTATTGGACTCAATCGCTCTCATAACCTCTCTCTCTATCTCTCTCTCTCTCTCTATATATATATATATATATATATATATATATATATATAGAGAGAGAGAGAGAGAGGCAAATGATGCATTTTGTAGTGACGTAAGTAAAGAGTGTTGTGATGTCAGCGAGGTGTGACGTCTGAATGTTTGTGTATATATTTTATTTTATTTTTCATATATTTTGAAGAATGCTAACTCATAAAGTAACTTTAAAGAACTACTCACAAATACTAGCAAAATAGTAGCAAAATTCAACAATGAAAACACAATTATGTCTGTTGCCTTTAATAACATTTGCCTTAAAGGATATGTATATATATATATATATATATATATATATATATATATATATATATATATATATATATATATATATATATGAAGAAAATATCTGGAAAAACAAACAAAAATCCTTAGAATGGGATTATGTTGTTTTAATATGAATGAAATGTCGACGTCTGACGTTTCGGTTTAATAACCTTCTTCAGGACAATATTCATTAAAAATACAATACAATTAACATAATCAGTATAACTCGACGAAAACGATGGACATTCTAAGGATTTTTGTTTGTTTTTCCAGATATTTTCTTCATTCTGTCGGATTTATATCCATTTATATTTGCTTATCATATATATATATATATATATATATATATATATATATATATATCAATGCTATCAAAGTATCAAGTATGACCATCATTAAAATGACACCAACTTATGATATTAATCAATGTCAGTGTTTGTTTTTTTATTAAGTGGAGAAAGACGTTTCACTTGACCATTCCAGCCTCTAAGCAATAACAGTATGTTTCAAACGGAGGAACCAGTCAATATAATTCGATACAGTTGTAGCGAGATACAAAAAGTTATCTCCCCTTATCCAAACGAGAAAAAAAGTTGATTATAAATATTGACGAGAATAAAAAGTCAAGTGACCTGACGAAACCCGCAAGGGACTTCATTAGGCGGGAAAGTCAATCCTTCTCTTTTCGCTCCGTGAATATATAGAAACAGGATACCCACATTTCAGGCCTGTGACAACCAAACAGATCAGTACAAAATTCATATCGATTTTGGTACCATCTTTTCCAAAATGCTAACATTGTTTTAAGAATTTCTAATATAAGATAATATATATATATATATATATATATATATATATATATATATATATATATATGCAAGTGTTTTTTATACGAGGACACTTGTTTTGTTTGAACGTGTGATATATCTATGTCGTCGTATAAATCATTTCCTGTAAATGAGGTCAATGTTTCATATCCCACACAACACTGTCAAACCGCACGTATTACATCGGAATTTTCATTCTCCTTGTTGGATCCCTTAAGAAAGACTAAGTGATCCACAATTCCTAATGGGGTAAACGTAGGCCTAAGACACCAACCAAGTTATTTCTACATTCCCACGCATGTGACAAATGAATTGAAATGTCATCAAAGAATCAATCTCCACTTTTACAGTTCTTGTTCTTAAAACTGCCCGGTGTCTAGTGGACAGGCATGTTGTTGTAGATGTCTCGCAATGGACGAATACATATGCATATATATTGAGTACACGACAACTACACTAACTTACACTACACTTTGTCTGTCTATTCGTCCATTGTGACACATCTGCAACAACATACCTGTCCACATTTACAATATAAAAAATACTGGACAACATAACTATCCTATAACAAGAAAATAATAAATTCAAGCTACAGATCCTAGAAGCAATCTATATTAAAAAAATTGAAGCCGGCACTGAACAGAATTAACTATGAATACTGTAGTAATGTTCTGAAATGCCTATAAAGGAACATTTTGTCACGCTTTCATGCGCGCATGAGCATGACATTACAACATAGAGGAAAAATTCCATAATGGATAATTTTTTTCATTTTCGAATGAACGCTCAGCGCATTGTAAAACGTTTGCATTTAAAAGCATAGTGAAGAAATATGGTAATGGATAGCAACGCTCAGTTTTGTATAAATACTTGTACCTCTGAACAACATATAGCTTTGTACTGATTGAACCCCTGAAGGTGATCTTGGAAGAAGATCGAAAGTACTTGGGAAATGAAAATAAAAGAAATTTAAACACTTATAGCACATTTCTCTCATACTTTAATATCACTACACGGAAGGTTATTCGTGAGTATGAACAGATTTTGTTAAAAATAAGCAAACATAATGCCTGTAATATATATACAATCAGACATAGATAGATAGATAGATAGATAGAATTAATGGATTTTGATCTTTAATCCAACATCGTTATTACTTCAAACTTTATATTTGATGGATACTCAGATTTTAAATAAACGAACCATTTATTTTAACAGCTTATATTACGTCTATTGATCTGCGCATTCGAGATGTATTAATAAACAATATATGCTTGGCGCCTGAATTTGGACCTGTATGTCCTTCGTAGAATAAAGTACCATTTGATCCGGCGTACTTTGCCAGTTTATAAAGGCATTATTTTCTCTTTTACAGAAAACAGACTTCAGATATTCTTTTAAATGCGTATATCTGCACAGTTTCGTATCCAAAATGTAAACAAAGCAATATCTAAAGAATTAATTGATGTTTCATATTTAATCCAAAAATTTTATTACTTCAAACGATATTATAGTGGATATTTTATCTTTAAAACTGGGCGTCTATTTCGAATCTTCACATCAAGTAATAATATTTTAGGCTGACTAGGCTTTTATGAAATATAGTCAGTCTGATTTAATGAATATGCCTATATTCATCGAAATAAATTTAATTCCGAATATGGATTTTAAAGTTCTTTTCACAATTTTTATTATAATTTGCTCTGTGTCATACATTGAGCTCTCATATCGACTAAAATCCTCTTTAGAATAATCCCTACCAATTACAATTATATATATATATATATATATATATATATATATATCATATGTTATGTGCTATCTAGAATATTACCGGTTGTATTTTATTTTGTATATATTTGTAATAACTGTATTTGAATAAAAAAATAAAAAACTTTTTACAGAAATGGTCAAATATCTTGAATCGAAAGCAAAACATGACGTGTTTTCTTATCAATTTTCTATTCGTTTAGCGTCTTGAGAGCAAACAGCCTCGATTTCGTCTTAACTTGTTCCCATTTTTATTTCTTTGTTTATTTTTCAGAGCTTCAAATTATGTATTTGTAAGCGTAACACACTTTCTCTATGCAGAAATATGTGTGTAGCTTGTGAATTTATACATCGAAACATTATTATTCTACTGGAAAATTGTTCGATGGCCGTACACTGGAATTGCATGCAAGATTATTTCGTGTTTTTTTTTGTTGTTTTTTTTTTCTATTTGTTGGCAGCCAGGGAAAAATAATATTGTCATTACCGTATCGATAATAAAACGAAACCGATTTTATATCCGGAAAGAGAAGAAATGAACGAAGGAAAAAGTGAGGACGAAAGAGGTGAACTCATATAGGAATTATAGTTTATGAAATGAGATAAAAGAAAGAAAGAAAGAAAGAAAGAAAGAAAGAAAAGGAAATAACTAGGAAGCAAAAGAAAGAAAAAAGAAAGAACAGGAAAGAACAGGAAATAAGAGGAAAGAGAAAAGAAAGAAAGAAAGAAAGAAAAGAAAAGAAAGCAAAGAAAAGAAAGCAAAAAGAAAGAAAGAAAGAAAGAAAGAAAGAAAAATAAAAAGGAAATAACTAGGAAGCAAAGAAAGAAAGAAAGAAAGAAAGAAAGAAAGAAAGAAAGAAAAGGAAATAACTAGGAAGCAAAGAAAGAAAGAAAGAAAGAACAGGAAATAAGAGGAAAGAACTAGGAAGCAAAGAAAGAAAGAAAGAAAAAAGAAAGAAAGAAAGAAAGAAAGAAAGAAAGAACAGGAAATAAGAGGAAAGAAGTAGGAAGCAAAGAAAGAAAGAAAGAAAGAAAGAAAGAAAGAAAGAAAGAAAAGAAAAGAAAGAATAGGAAAGAGCTAGGAAGCAAAGAAAGAAAGAACCAAAAAGAAAGAAAGAAAGAAAGATACAAACAAACAAACAAACAACAGGAAAGATCTAGGAAGCAAAGAAAGAAGGAAAGAAAAGGAAAGAGCTAGGAGATAAAGAAACAAATCAGAGAAATATTCTCTGAAATAATGCAAGTGCAGAATTGCTGCTGATGTCAATGGTCAATCATTAAGCTCTTTTAAGGATACAGGCCCTCACAAATGACTTCTTTTTGCAAAGTAGAAAAAACAAAGAAATAAAAGAAAAGAGACAGAAGCCTAAAAAAGAAAGAGAGAAAGAAAGAAAGAAATATAAGCCAAATAAATCTTCTCGTGAATAAGATAAGTGAAGAAAGAAAGAAAGAAAGAAAGGGAATAGATAGAAGTTTAAGAAAGAAAGAAAGAAAAAAGAAAGAAAGAAACAGAAGCCAAAGAAACATTCTTGTGAATAAGGTAAGTGCAGAATGGCTGCTGATGTCACTGGTCAATTTTAAAGCTCTTGTAAGGATACAGGCCCTTAAATATAACTTCCTTTCGCAAAGAAAGCGTTCTCCTTTCCAATGTGCTACACTCAGCTACAAAGAACAGAAATATCAGTTCGATGTAATCGCTGAAATTATTGTAGCCACTTTCTTTCAAGCAGCAGGAGCATATATAAACAAATAAAAAATTAAAAAAAGAAACTTTACGGATTCTGAATATTATTTATATTATCTTTTCACCTCAGGCAAGGCGATAAAGCTACTAAAGATCAAGGTATTATTGAGGGTGAAAGAAGTTTAAAAAAAAATTATTATTATGGAGAAAAAACAATAAAACATGTATTTAAAGAGACATATGGCGATTGATGTTTCATTTAAATATTTGAAAACCATAGTTGACATGAAATCAAGGAACCGAAGGAGAGTTCTACAAGCGAAGAGTTGAAGAAAAAAGCTGTCAAATATCTTACGGTGAAATATATTAAAATTCAAAGATAAAATGATGAGACGTGGCTGTTCGTCTTGTACTCAACTTAAATTCCTTACGAGTTACGAAAGAACACACAGACTTAATCCCCAAAGAGAAATGCCGCATGATCATCTGTCTTCCTATGACACACTTTATATGTATTACCTTAGCTTAATCTACATAATAAATGGGTGACCACTTGGGAATACTAGGTGGCATATGGTTGGAGGTGCGGACGGTGTAATGGATAACGACTCAGGATTAGAAATCGGAGAGACGTTCGAATTCCAAGAGGTTTTCGATATACTTATTTACGCGTAAATGACGTTATAAAGAAAGATATGAATCTGCCTTTTCGTCGCAGGTTTTGCGTTCTCTGTCGTCTCTGGATTCCCACGGTACTATATAAAATGGTATCAACGAAACGGACTATATCTTTTCCTTGTGCGTTTTATTCGGAGAGTATGGTCACAGTTTGGATTCTAAGAGGCAGTAGGATGACTGACAAGACAGGAACACATGTCTCACATTGGCTCGGCATCCCACTGCGGGTGGTCTTAGCCGGTCGATAACTTGGGTGTGGGAGGGGTATCGACGTATCTAAGCTTCAGAATTCTTGCGGCTCACTGTTGTATTAGCGCCGTTTTGGAGTTATATTTAAAACCCAGACAAAGAAAATATATCACTTTCAGAATCCCCTGCCCAGGCGGCACTCCGGCTAATCGCTGACTATTCTGGCCCTGAACTTCGCTTACTGTAACGCTGAAATTTTATCAGTAAATCATTATTATCATCAAAAGAATTCTTACAATCTAAGAATTATTTTCTCGCATTCAATAGTCAGCAAAAAAGGAATCAATCAACCAATAATTTAGATATTAAAGAAAAGCAGAAAAAACAAGTGTTCGGGGCTTATAGATGAGGTGTACGCGTAGATGACAATAGTTGCCCGTATTGTATCCCAAATGAAGGTTTAAATTTTAGATAGACTTTTTTCAACGTGGCATAACAACGCCGGCAAATATCCGTTTTTCGGTTCCATATATCACGAAGTTGAGAGGTGTGAATATATATATATATATATATATATATATATGTGTGTGTGTGTGTGTGTGCGCGTGTGTGTGTATATATATATATATATATATATATATATAAACTCAACTTGAGGACAATAACAATATGAAAGCGGAAATAATTTATCATATATAATGGTAAAAAAACAAACATTTTTTAATAAATTAAAAAACAATATGTTGCATTTCATATTTTGTTTTGTTCTGGTGTCCCATATTTATTCACACATTCAGTTCAATTTTATATTTATTTTTTATTTATCGGGATAATTTCCAAAATTATGGTCGATGCTGGCATTTTCACTCAGGTCGTTTATCTAATATGATACAAAAAAATATTTCTTTCCTTGATTTTGGAAAATGTAATCATCGTAAATAAAATCGTTTTTTTTTCTAATCTCAGAATAGAAGATTAGAAAAATGTTGCTTAATATTCGGTTTGGCGTAGATATAAAATGATTCGCAATGAATATTAACAAAATAGCAAATAGGAATTTCGATGACAAAACAGGGATGCTTGCGACAGTTTTTGGTTTTGTCTGAGCATGTCATATTTAAGGGAAAACAAATGGTGAAAGTGTCAAGAATAAAGAAACACTGCAGATATCTATCAGCTATAGCAATAAAAAAAAAAAAACCTTAATTGATATTTGGAATTGACATTTAATACAGAGGAGCTGGAAAATTACTGGGTCTTCTTTTTTAAGCGATTACTGGTCGGAGCAAATATATGTCAAGGCCCATTCGTAATAGTTTACGTGTAATACATATCCGATTCTATTTCATTTTCTCTCTCTCTCTCTCTCTCTCTCTCTCTCTCTCTATCTATCTATCTATCTATCTATCTCTTTCTCTTTCTCTCTATCTCTTTCTCTCTCTCTCTTTCTCTCTTTATCTATCTCTTTCTCTCTCTCTCTATCTCTTTCTCTCTCTCTCTTTATCTATCTCTTTCTCTCTCTCTCTATCTATATATCTATCTCTTTCTCTATCCCTCTCTCTTTACTTATCGTTCGGTTCACACAGCTCCCCGTTTTTCCTTTGTTTCCGGTTTAAGAATAAGTTTCCAGTTCTTTTCTAGGCGATTCCTCGAACTGAATAGATCTCAAAGCCCTTTCGTAGTAGTACACATGTAATACATACCCGATTCTTTTTCATTCTCTCTCGCTCTCTCTTTCTCTCTCTTTCTCTCTCTCTCTCTCTCTCTCTCTCTCTCTCTCTACCTACCTACCTACCTACCTACCTATCCTTTGACATTGTACAAGGTAAGAATGCCCAAGAGCAGGTATATGCATGGTACGGAATTTGGGATGCAACGAAGGATCCTTGGTTGGTGATGTACAGTGGGTAGCAAAAGTATTTAACACATTGCTTTTTCTTACATATCTCAAAAAATAACAGCATACTTATAGAAAATACTAATATAATTGTCTCAACCACATGAAAAAACATGGCTACAAATCATAGAAGCATTCGTAAAACAAAAGATAAACCAACACTCAATAATATCAATTATGAACTCTGCCACAATATGCAGAGCATGCTTGAAAATTAATAAAAAATTCCATGCCTATAGATAGTTATTTTTTAAAATGGTATCACCCCATGCAAGACCGTAAAGCCAGTAAGACATAAAGGGGTTACAGGGTGTGGAAGAATTAGGAACATAAATGTTAATAATGATCGGAAAGAGGAAAGAGTAATCCGGAGGACAGTAGATAGCGATTAACATTGCATTTAAATTTGTGTAGATTAAAGTTGTCTAGAAAACGAGAAGTGCGAGCGAAGAAACTGTTATTATTGAATTTGCGGTTATATCTAGCTAGCTCGACTATAAATTGATGGGATCTTGACGCTAGTTCAATACTGTGCTTAAAGTGAAAAAAAGTATAGGCAGTATATCAAAGTGCGATATTTATTTGTATAATTTGATACAAAATGGAAAACAAGGCCAGAATGTGGAATAGGGAAAGAGTTTGGTCTTCTTCTCTCTCATAATTAAACTTAGCTAGCCACAATTAATGACCCAAACATATTACAATATTCCTTACACCAAAACAACGCATTTTTACAAACCATTCTTACTACATCCACCATAATTTATCAGAATCTCCATGAAAGTCCTTATTAGTCTCTAGGTATACAATAGCGAAGAGCTTATCTGAACAATTACTATGAAAGTATTTATGCTAAAGACACAGAGAGGAAACCTTACGGCGAAATAGGAAATAGACTGCAGCCGAGACGCCAGATCAGGACCAATAATATTGATGAGTCTTCTTTGGATTTTATCAAGGAACTCAAGATAAACAGTAGGGGTATCGGACCATATGTAGCAGCAATAATATAAACGTGTTATAAAAATGTACAGGTTGAATTAAGATAAAAATTACATTATTGATAATGGCTAACAGATTAGCCAAAGGCGCTCGTATATAGAGAACATCTGGACAATACTATAGACTTATGTCTGAAAAGAAAATACATGTACGAATGCAAGAAAAACTGAACAAAACGCTTAAGTGCAGTAGCTTGTCAGTCATTTTTATAAAATTTGTAACTCAACTCCTTAATTATCTATCTAGCTATCTATTCATCTAAAACGGGTTCATTCATATCTATGCACATATTCATTACATAATATTACACACACACACACACACACACACACACACACACACACACACACATATATATATATATATATATATATATATATATATATATATATATATTATTAAGGGTTCACCCTTTTTCATACAAGTGGATTCGCCCGGTGTGTACTTGTACTGCTGCCGGTGAATACCCGGAAGTCGGAACTGATACAGTGATTGTGTGAGGTAACCGCTTTGTAGGAGTCACAGTTGCGAGCACGCAGAGTCAATAGGAAGTCATACTTCGATACTGAATTTCCCAGACTGTATTTATATTATTATTACTATTAACCGCATTTCTGGATCTACTAACCGTATTACCAATTGTATTATTACGTCAATACATTTATTTGCTATATTTCATTCCTGCGTTTGTCATTCATTTGAGACCGGATTTCATCTCGGAATCCAATCATATATATATATATATATATATATATATATATATATATATATATATATATATACATATAGAGAGAGAGAGAGAGAGAGTATGCAATGTGATAGGTCCTGATCTGACATCTCGTCTACACTCGCTTTCTCGCAGACGTGCAGTGGCTTCCGGCTGTCTCTTCTACAATTTTTTCCTAACGCTAACTGTTCCGACGGGCTACTTTCGTTGGTTCTCAGACTGCATGGATTTAAGCGAGCTACTCGGACCCAGCCTTTCATTGTCGAAACGATTACATCTAAGTCTCTCTTCTACTCTAACAGCTTCTTCTCTCGCACTTCCTGTCTGTGGAATTGCCTTCCTCTTGCTTCTCTTCCCTGATAACTATAATCTTCTAATATTCAAGTGTAATGTCAATCTAGATATTGGTTTGTTCATCGACATTACCTTTCGTGTAAAATGAGTCCAATGTTGGATACGAAGAAACGTCCGCAGCCATCGCATGGTAAACCAGAAAGGTTCCAGACGATGTAGAGCTCTGGCTTTTCTTTGGCCTCTCTATATGTCAGTTCGAGATTCCAACCACCTGAAGAAGGCCGGAGCGCACAACGGCCGAAACGTTGTAATAAATATGGTGACAAAGATGAGGAAAATAGTCCGAATAATGTAAATCGTGTACATAATACCTCATCTCAGAAATATATAGACAAAAATTATTGTTTTAAAAATCATTTGAAAGAACCTTTAATCTTTACATTTTTCTGTGTTTATTGATAAGCTGAAATTCCAAGGAGTATCGTCCTAGTGAATATGTCGTATTTGTATGATATTTCGCTGTTTCTCATCCTGACAATTTTTGTTTTTCATTTCACCTCATGCTTGGTTCTAATTGGGTAATTACAAAGAAAATAATTTTATGTCCCGTTACATTTCGCACTCGTCCAGAAAGTGTAAAAATAAATATATTATCTGATGTTTTGATTCTTGAAACGAACGGCTTACCACAGTTTACTGCAAAGCAAATAGATTCCTTCACGCACAAGTAAATTTCCCATTAACTGCGTATGGTGTTCCATTAAAGAAAGAAAAAACTATATAAAATCAATATTTACCGAAATGCACAAATAAACCTTGAAAAGAAGGCGTGCGTAATACACCTACACACAGATATGAATGTTTGTCTTTGTGAGTGTGTGTATGGAATAGACACATCACTATTCACGGTTCACAAACACACGCATACATACATACATACATACATACATACATACATATCTTTGGAATATTGATTCGTTTCTAGGGTTTATCAACGATTCGCAAGTTATTTAAAGACAGGAAATATTTTTATTTTGTAAGAATTTCTTCATTTTTGTTGGGGAGAGACAAAAATATTTTTTTTCATGAAAAAATTCTTAAAATTTAATCCATATCTGAGGAAGGGCAAGATGGAGTGAAGGTGTATTTACACCTTTCCCATGGTCATTTGCACGTAACTGAATATTACGAATTCATCGTGAATTAGAAAAATCTCTCCAGTTAGCAATTCCATTACACCACGCGCACATCCAAACTTACTGCACATGGTATTCACAAGAGGTCGACCATCAAGGTACTGAACAGGCTTGACATTGCTTAACTTCGGTGATCGTACAGGAACTGGTTTTTCAACGTGATGTCACTGTAAAACATGTGTGTGATTGTTTGTCTGTTATTATAAATTATCTAAATTCCATGTTGATTAAATTCAAACATCTTTTCCAAATATTATTCCGTAAAGATAGCCGCTGAAGTTTAAGAAAAAAAAATCACAGCCTCGATTTTGGAGATTGTGTGTATTCCCAGCAGCCAGTTTGACAGAAGGTTCTTCTCATTTTAGAGAAGAAGTGGGTAAATTAATGTACCTGCACCATCTATACTTTCAATAAATCATGTTAAAAAGAACAATTTTTGCGTAAGGTTTTATATATATATATATATATATATATATATATATATATATATATATATATATATATATATAAAGGGTGTTTCATTAAGTCGGATTATATATAAGCATGTTTCATTAAGACGGATCAAAGTCAGCATTAAATAAATCAGTCTTATTGGTGAAAATTTACTTATTTCTCTGTTGGATCATGTTATTTAAGTCATGACAATTATGTGCGAAAAATAATATCTCCTAAAAAAAAAAAAAAACATTAGACGCTTAAACTTAATAATGAATATAGATATATATAATATATATATATATATATATATATATATATATATATATATAATGAATATATATATATATATATATATATATATATATATATATATATATATATATATATATATATATATATAATGGATATATATATATATATATATATATATATATATATATTATAAATTAATTGATTTAAAATATGGTTATTTTCGCTACACAGTTCCAACCATGTTTCAAAAATAGAAGCTAAAAACTAATATAATATTAATGCTCTGTAAATTTACATTGAGCACTATTTTGTAAAAATAAAAATATCTATAAGAACACCGGATTTTATATATTACTGTTCTTTCTTCATTACATTCGCTTAACCCTTGGGAAAAGCGTGAATCCTCTTCTGCTCCTTCTAGCTATGGGTAAATAGCAGGACAGACTGGTTTCTATACCCTTGGATGACAACTGGTCTAAAACCTAATCAAATCTCATGTGATGGCGTCTGTCTGTCAATTTCCTAGGAACTGATCTGCTTGATCCTCATACGTCGAATTCGACAGAAGAGTCGTATATATATATATATATATATATATATATATATATATATATATATATATATATATTGTTGGATAGATGTGAGTTTGTGACCCTGGGTTTCACGCTTTAGCGATCGTCAGACAATAATAAGTACCGCGCATATAATATATAAATAATTATATATATATAAATAATTATATATATATATTTATTTATATTTATATACACTTTTTCACACAGACACACACACACACATATATATATATATATATATATATATATATATATATATATATATGTAGTGTCTCTGTGTGTTTGTGTGTATCAAATGTATTTTTACAAACTTTGTGGCAGGTTTCTGACCCCAAACCAAAGTAACATATCCATATAAATATATGTCGAAAAGGCCATCGTTGTTTCCAGCTTAGCTTCTACATACGCACCCACCGTCGGATCATTGAAAAGCAGACGCTTTCAAATATTGCTCTCATGACACGTTGATGAAGCGTCTCTTAATTATTTATGTCCGCTGCATAAAGCAAATGTTTTAATGGTTCCACAGATAACAATCCGAAGGATTGACATTGGCAGAAAGTGAAGACTATGGAACCGGTCCTCTCCTGCTTATCTATTTTTCATGATAGATGTCTGCTAGTGCATCACGAACAATGTGACTAAAATGTGCTGGTTCCCCATCTTGCATGAACCACATGCGTCTTCCTATGAGCAGCGGTACATGCTCTAACAGGTCTGGAAGTGTGTTCGAATAAATTCCCTATAGCTAGCTCCTGTAAGACGTGCTGGTAGAACATATGGACCTACCAGAGAGTTACCTCTAATTACAGACAACCCATTACTTATAAACTGATACTGGTGTCCAGCTTGTATTGTGCAATGGGATCCCGATCCACCCACAAATATTTGTTGTGTCGTTCCATGTTTTCCAAATATTGCCTCATCTGTAAACAAGACTGAAAAGGCAAACCATGGATCGGCAGTCTGTGCAATAATCAATCGGTAAGGTTCTCCGATGGAAAAATTGCAAATGATTTGGATGCAGGAGCTGCTCTTGATGTACCCTGCATGAGGTACTATGAGATGTACGACATGCTAGGGCCATTTGACGTGTTCTGATTCTCCGATAAACTGTAGAATGTGTTCTTATTGTTTTCGTTTGTTTATTTTTTCAAGGACATGGGGGGTGGAGAGAATGTAAGAATATAAAGGAATAACATCAGTGACTTTGTTCGTCTTGATTAAAACCATGAACCCAGTTCAATATATACGACACAATAAAACGCACACACACACACACATTAAAAATATATATATATATATATATATATATATATATATATATATATATATATATATATATATACATTCAGACACACACACACACACACATATATATATATATACATATACATACTTTAAAAATCATCGGGTCATTTGAATACATTCCCCATGATTTTCGGTAAAGCACGTGAGGCCATATGACGGTTCCGTATAGGCTGAAGGTTCGATTCCTGTCGTAGGGCGCATATTTTCTATGAAAATTTCTCGGATATTCAGGTCGGTAAATGTTGTTAATACTGTTTATTATAAACAGAGAATTTATTTAAATATTTGTCTCTATAAAAAAGAATGTATAAACATAAAAATGTCTTGAAATTATTTTCAGATTTTGTCCTTTTTCATAATGTGTGACGTCATTAGTTTACATTTGATACGCATCGATTAGATATGAATTTACGAGAGCAAATCATGGAGACTTGTAGTTTAAAAACAGTTAAATCGACCCTGCTAAGCGAAACGCTCCTCTATGGCTAAATCGGTAAAGCAGGCCAGTCTATATGACGGTTCCGTATAGTATACAGGTTCGATTCCTGTCGGAGAACACATATTTTCTATGAAAATTTCTCGGATATTCAGGCCGGTAAATGTTTTTAGTACTGTTTATTATAAACAGAGCGCACACACACACACACACACACACATATATATATATATATATATATATATATATATATATATATATATATATATATATGCGCGCGCATGCTGAAGTTCGTTTGATAGAATAATAGATAGATAATGATGGGGCTGCGGTAGATAGGTAGATAGATAGATAGATAGTTATAATTATGGGGCTGCGATAGATATGGCTTTGTCTAAAACTTGTTCTATTTTAATGGCATTTGCAAGTATGAACCATTTAGATATGGGAGCCAACAATACATGTTGATAGGAAGTTTCTCGCCTTAAGTCACATGGAGTTCACCGTTCTACTAATCCCTGAAATTACGAATACCTGGAAACAGACACTGACAATTAAGTAACGAATTCTTTTTCGCACACAGCCTTATTATATCTATCAATCTCAAACTCTTCATTATTCATTTCAAACCCTTCATTATCTATGATAAAAGATCATTTATCTTTCTCAACTCTTACATTATCATTCACGATCCCTTCATTATCTAAATATCTATAGATCTAACTTATTCCCTTCATTACTGTCATGGGTCTTTACCTATAACTACAGAATAAACTCTTCCTAACACTATGCATACTACGCCTCTCAAGAGAGAGGGACGAATAGAGTCGAGCCGATAGTAGTTCACTCCAAACCAGACTGACAGTCATACTAACACCTTCCACATCTTGTATTATTATTTCGTGTAATATACCTTCGTTATTTCTACTCTTGTGTTCCTGTTGTTCTTCCTTGGTCCTAACTGGGACCGTAACAATTACCTAACGCAATTCATTCATCAATCAATCTATCAAATCCTTCATTATCTATCACAATTCCTTCATTATTTATCTCAATCTCTCTAATCCTTCATTATATATCTATCACAATTCCTCCGTTATCTCTCTTTTTATATATATATATATATATATATATATATATAACTTCTTTTTTATGTGCCGTGTCCCTTCAGGGCGTAGGCGATCATGGATCTCCATTTCCTCCTGTACCTTGTAGCACTCAACAATAGGCTTTGACTTTTTGTTATTTTTCCCAGACCTTGTTCTGCCATCCACATAGTTAAGCCAGTTAATTATGTTTTTTTTTTCCTGTCACTCTTTCCCTTTCTCATAACGTGTCCCAGAAATTTTAACTGCTTCTTCCTGCTGTTAAGTATGAGTTTCCTTTTTTTTTTCATCCTCTCCAAAACCTCATGTTCTCCCTCCCCCAGCTATGGGTTAAATAGTAGGACTTGTATCACTAAATCGTTATTATCTCCCCCCACAAAAGAAAACCTCTTACAATCTAATAATATGTTCTGGGTTTAAATAACTTGACAAGGGTTGATAAGAGGTAAAAATCGAATCAATCAATCGAAATAACGATTTATCGATACGTCTCTACGTTATTTGCTCGTTTGATTGAAAACAGATTGTATCTTTTCCTCTTTAATTTGGTTTGTTTTAAATTTTGGGGTTTTATACAGTTTTAACACCAAAAGAAATTCAATGGGGATAACTTCACTTCTGGGCTGGATTTCAGAGCTTCATCGGCACGACACGGTTTTGGTCTGAGAGTTTTCCAGCGCTAAATGAAGAAAGTAAAATTCCAGTTGATACTTATAAGGTATAAGACAGTGGCGTTGAAAAAAAAACAACGAAATGGAGAAAACGAAGACAGAACTGAAAGAAACCTTAATTCTTGAACCAGACACGGTTCAACAACGAATACACTTTGAAACAAACGAGTAGTTCAATTTTATAGACAAAAACGCAGACAAGTCACAGGAAACTAAAAGAAAGTAATTTCATTAATTTTCTTGAGTAAAAAGAAAAGAATTGTCAGTAGCAAATAGGCAGGACTTGTCAACAGACATCTGGTTTTTCTGTTTAACTTTTTATCGAAAGTACATTCATCTGTTCGACTAGATTTTTTTTGTATTGTTTTCTT